AACAGATTTATTCTTCAACTTATTTATTGATACAATGAAGTTTATTTGAAATATTTCCGCTTCACGGCCCTCTTACATACAAATTGCGCAAGCTTCCAATTGCAATTAACATCATTCCAGAACTTTTCCTTCGTGCTGGGGTGGTTCGTGTTTTCGCTGATCAACTGAAAAAAAAACTAAATAATGCAATCGTACTGAGTGCTTACCCTTATATCTGGGTATATGATGTCTGCGTAGAGCGCACCATCGCCTGAAACTCAACTTGGTACTGTCCTCACAATTTTCCCCCTTTTTATGACAGTGGTCTATTTTGAATAGTAAGGGACTTAAGGATAAGTAAAAGACCGTATATGCAAAAACACTGAAACAACGGGTAGCTGTTGCTATCAGGTGAAAATTTGCGCCAAATACCCCAGAAAATATGTAGGATAATATTGGGCTTTGACTTTGTGCTGCTTGGTGGACATTTCTCATTTTCTGTACAAAGCAGAGTTTTAGCAAAATAGTAAGAACCATTCGCCAAACGGCAAAGAGAAAAAGCGCATTTTGCGACAAGTTGCGAGAAACTCCTTAGTTACGTAGGTTAGTTGAAGAAATAGCTGCTTAACTCGTGAGAAAAGCAGTTGGAAGCGTGGAAAGTGCCCGAATGAGCTTTACCTATCCAATGCGGTAGGCAATGTTGGGAACATTGGGCGATATACTAGTCAGAGCAGCGAGTAGCAGGCAAATGAGCATGACAACAGACTATGCAGCGCCAGCGTAGCCTCTTGACCAACTGTGTGCCTTAGCGACCCCCCCCCATTCGTGCATAATAGCGGAACGTACCTCCAATAGGTTGAGTACCTGCGGCAGCAACCTTGTATTCTGAATTGTCCGGCTGCTTGGGAGACCACCTCGTGTAAAGCGAGGGACTTCTATCGGTCCAAGTCCATAACCAGTCCTTCGGCCAGGGGTGCTTTCGTAGGCCGATCCATGTGAGCTCGTGAACGTCTTTCACTGGCCTTCCTCTTGTTGCTAACCCTGAATTTAAGATTGTTGTGACCCTTCAGTTGGTCACTCCATTCAAAGCTGTATCGAGATTTGGATTTCACAATGACCGGGCTCTTGTGGGGGTCATTGTTCTCCCTGACAAGGATGGCGAAAATGATTTATTCTTCCGTAATCGGGGGTGATCAGTGGGGCTGTAAGACTCGAAGTAAAACAACAAAGCAGAAAACACGTAGCACTCGCCCTCAGCACTCGGAATAATGTCATAAGCTCATGCGTATAGGATTACTCGGTGAGAAGGGTATCCCAAAACGGAAATAAATTTTCCAAGTTCCTTCCAGAAGCAGGGAAGTCGGGGAGGGTTGATGGGAAGGGGAGATCTCTCTCCAGTCAACTAATCATTTCAACTAACGTACAGGAAACGGAATGACCAAAAAAGTTAACACCCGGTAGAAGTTGTTTTGCATTTCGAAAATTTTTTCTCGATAGCAAATGCGATCCCTCCTCCCCAGCGACCAATACGACCCTACCTTGATGGGATAAATCTAACGATGCTGTAACCTACTTGTAGATTTTCGTGGAAGAGTCTGCTCCAATACAGTGATGATATTATTGCTTACCATAAACGAATTCGTTTTCCTCGTCACTGTGGATCGATGCCAAATGCCCTCCAAACGAAACACATCGCCTTTCTGCTTCGTCGAAAGTAGCTTCTTCTCGGAATACCTGTAAATCACTCAAAAATGCCACAATTGTATATTATATAAAACCTCATATAATGCTGTGGAAAACTGTTTTGTTATGATAACTGCTGTTTAACGCCGCAGTACGCGTTCCGAATGTTATCACAAGAATGCTGAGTTGTGGGCAAAAGTCGTGCCCCAGGCGGGAGTCGAACCCGCACCTCACGCTTTCCGGGCGAGTGCGCTATCCGTTACGCCACCAGGGCCGCTTTACCTCTATTTACCCCCTCCGGCTGTGGAAAACGTCTTTTTTTAAGTCAGCAAGAAAAACGAGGGAGCATCATCAAAGCAATGTCACAAAGTACTTTACCCAGCAAATGCTTGTTGCAGTCACACCCTAT